TTATTGGTCTATTCAGGGTTTCAGCTTCTTCCTGGTTTAGGCTTGGGAGGACACAAGTGTCCAGGAATTTATGCATTTCTTCCAGGTTTCCTAGTTTATGTGCATAGAGATGTTTGTAATAATCTCTGATGATGGTTTGTATTTCTGTGGAATCTGCGGTGATATCCCCTTTATTGTTTTTTATTGCATCTATTTGATTATTCTTTTTTTTTAATTAATCTGGCTAGTGGTGTATTTTGTTGATCTTTCTGATCAACCAGTAAATACTGGTTTTTGAAAAACCAGTATTTTCTATCTCTAGATTATAAGCGTGGTTAAAAAGATCTTTTCACATATGTACTAACCACTTGCATTTTTTTCTTCACTGAAATGCCTATTATTCTTTTTATTGGTTTGTGGGTGATATGGTTTGGCTACGTTCCCACCCAAATCTCATCTTGAATTGCAGCTCTCATAATTCCCATGTGTTGTGGGAGGCACCCAATGGGATATAACTGAATCATGCAGGTGGTTCCCCCCATATTGTTCTTGTGGTAGTGTATAAGTCTTATGAGATATGATGGTTTTATAAGGGGAAAACCCCTTTCATTTGATTTTCATTCTCTCATTGCCTGCGTCCACCATGTCTTTTGCCTTCTGCCATTGTTGGGAGGCCTCCCCAGCCATGCAGAACTGTGAGTCCATTAAACCTCTTCTTTATAAACTACCCAGCCTCTGGTATGTCTTTACTAGCTTATGAAAACAGACTAATAGAGTGGAAGTTCTTAATATTTTGCAGATGCTGCTCTTTCATCATATATATTGCAAACATTTGCTCCTAGTCTATCTTTGATTTTGGTTTGCAGTTCCTTTGTCATACAGAAGTTTAATACAAAAATACAGTCAAATGTGGCCGGGCATGGTGGCTCATGCCTGTAATCCCAGCACTTTGGGAGGCCAAGACAGGCAGATCACGAGGTCAAGAGATCAAAATCATGCTGGCCAACGTGGGGAAACCCCGTCTCTACTAAAAACACAAATATTAGCAGGACATACTGGCATGCACCTGTACTCCCAGCTACTCAGGAGGTTGAGGCAGGAAAATCACTTGAACCTGGGAGGCAGAGGTTGCAGTGAGCCAAGATCACGCCACTGCACTCCAGCCTGGGCAAAAGAGTGAGAGTCTCGAAAAAAAAAATACAGTCAAATTTACAATTCTCTGTATTTCCCTTAGAGGCTAGTTTCCCAATTCTGCTATAACAAAGTACTATAAATTGGATGTCTTAAAACAATAGAAATATATTTTCTCATAGTTGCAGAGGCTAAATCTGAAATCAAGGTGTCCATAGGGCCATGCTGTGTCTGAAGATTCTAGGGAATAATCCTTTGTTGCCTCTTTCTAGCTTCTGGTGGTTTCTGGCAGTTGCTGGCAATCTGTAGCATTCTTTGGCTTGGGGCAGCATCACTCCAATCTCTGCCTCCATTGTCACATGGCATTCTACCTCTGTGTCCACCTGTATCCAGATTTCCCCCTTCTTATAAGGATATAAGTCAATGGATTAGGGCCCACTCTCATCCAATGTGATCTCATCTTAAACTCATCTGCAAAGACCCTACTTACAAATAAGATCACATTATGCCAGATATAGGTGATTGAGAGGAAGGCAGCAAACCACATTGCCATGTATGTACCTATGCAACAATCTTGCATGTTCTTCACATGTACCCCAAAACCTAAAATGCAATAAAATATATATTTTAAAAAAAAATCACATTCACACGTACCAGAGGTTAGGACTTCAACCTATCTTTTGAGGGGAAAGGGTGCAATTGACTCAAAACAGATGCTTGGTTGAAGATTTTCATATTTATGTTCATGAGAGATTTTCATCTGTCATTTTCTCTTCTTGTAATGTCTTTGTCAAGTTTTGGTATCAGGATTCTCCCACCTTGGTGAAGTAAGCTGGAAGTGTTCCCTCCTTCTCTGTTTTCAAAAGTATTAAGTGTTTGATAGAATTGACCACTGTGTCATCTGGGCTAGAATCTGTCTTGTGGAAGAGTTCTGAATTAACAACTCAGTTTCAACCAGCCTGGGTGACATAGTGAAACTGTCTCTACAAAAGTAAAAGTAAAAAATTAGCTGGGTGTGGTGGTATGCACCTATAGTTCCAGCTACTCGGGATGCTGAGGTGGGAGGTTCATTTGAGCCTTTGAGTTCTGGCAGCCAAAAATCTGAAATCAGTACCACTGAACTGAAATCAAGGTGTTGGCAGAATCCCATTCCTTCTGGAGGCTCTAGGAAAGAACGTATTTCTTGCCTCTTCCAGTTTGTGGTGGCTGCCAGCATTCCTTAGCTCCTGGCACATCACTCCAATCAATGCCTCTGTGGTTACACTGTCTTCTCTTCTTCTGTCTGTGTCAAATCATCCTCTGGCTCTTTCATGTAAAGACACTTGTGGATAATCCAAGATAATCCCCAAATCTCAAGACCTGCAATGTAATTACATCTGCAAAGACCCTTTTTCCATATAAAGTATGATTTATAATTTTCAGGGATTCAAAATTTATATTTTTGAGGGCCAGTATTCAGCCTACTATGGTGCCTTTTTCAAAGTGTTTATTTTCCTAAAATGTTGGGTAATTATTTTGGCTAGGCTATTCATCTGCCTTTAAATATTTCACATACTTATCTCTTTCTACTGCCATGCTTATTTGAAATAAGGTGGAGGGTGCAAGTAATTAATCTTCTGGGCAATAGGAAGAACTTTCTTCTGAGGATTAGAAAAATTTGGAGCTCTGTCTTGCTTCTTTGCTTCTGGTACTTCTACTTATTATTCTCACTTGACAGCAGACACCTCTGCTGGCTATAATTTGGTCCAAATAAGGTAAGACTGTAAGGGCTAAAGTGTCATGTTATACCATCAGTGATACAAAGAGGGCTCTGCCGTTACCCCAAGGTTCCTGTCTTTTTTAGTATCTGCTGACTCTAAGCTTGGAACATCCAGAGGCTGCACCTACCTTTTCAGAAGTCTTCTTCTGACTGAGTTTAGCTTGGCTTCTTCCTTCAATCTGATCTCAACTTCCTTTTGTCTTTTAGGACTCCTTACAATTTTCTTGCTTTCTAACAGTTTGTTTTCTTTTAAGAACATCATTTTTGGATTTTCCCCCCAAAAGATTGAAGGCCAGCCTGGGAGGATAGAAGGTGTGTGCCATTTGTACCCTTGGTTTAAATTCCAAACTATCTTTAAACCATATTTAATGCCTTTTCCTTATATGATTGCCATCTTCTTTATTTGTGTCATATAAAGTTCTTAAATTACCTCATCTTCTGAAGCCTGTTTTATTCTATACTACTGTACAGTATCTGTTTTACAACAAGATATTTTATTTCGGAGTCAGATGAATAGGTAAAAAGAAAATGTATATAGTAATGGACTGAAAAAAATTACTACATGATTGAGGGAAGACTCTTACTTGTAAGACATCTAAGACCGCACTCAAAAGAACAGCTCCTAATATGAATAACATCCCACTTGTTCCCAAGGTTAATTAAATAGGTCAGAAAAAAATAATTTTCAAGTAGCTGTGCCATACCAAAAAAAAAGATGCACAGTATATTATAAAGCTAAAAGCTTTAAGACTAAACAAAAACTGCTGTGTACAATTCTATTTTTAGAATGAAGAAAATAGCATAAATTTAAGATTGGATCATTCTTAGGTTAACTACCAACACATGTGGCAGATGTTTGCTATAGATGCCAACTGAACATATAGGAAGCAATTCAAATTCAACATTTATAATTACACTTGAAACTTATTCCAGACTGTCTCAAGTATCCAGTTGTAAACTAAATGAATATTGTTTGTTTAGAGGCATAAAACTAGTAATTGATATGCCAAGCATATTAATGCAATTTTAGACGAACACTAAAAGTACCAGCAAAGTAGTTAGCACACTTACGTTCTATTCCTATAATTTGATTTACTGGGGCATCTCTGGGGTCCCAGTTTCATCATGTACAGTATATATCTCTAAGGTAGTGCTCCCTAATCTTCATGTCAGGGCACATACAGAAAATGGTAACATATGAATATCTACCTGGTGTAAAAAGAAGAGGTACTCAAGGCTGGAAGCTAGCTGATACGGTTTTGCTGTGTCCCTAACCAAATCTCATCTTGAATTACAGTTCCCATAATCCCCATGTGTTGTGGGAGAGACCCGGTGGGAGGTAATTGAATCATGGGGGCAATTATACCCATGCTGCTGTTCTCATGATAGTGAGTTCTCACGAGATCTCAACGGCTTTATAAGTGGCCTTTCCCATTTTGCTCAGTACTTATTCTTCCTGCCATCATGTATAGAAGGGCATGTTTACTTCCCCTTCCACCATAAGTTTCTGGAGGCCTTCCCACCCATGTGGAACTGTGAGTCAAACCTCTTTCCTTTATAAATTACCCAGTCTTGGGCAGTTCTTTTTTTGGGGGTGGGCAGTTCTTTTTTTGGGGAGGGGCAGTTCTTTATGGCAGCATGAGAATGAACTAATACACTGGCTTAGCTACTCTTGCTCTCCAGGAAGCTGTGGGACCAACGTTTCAGTGCACCTGTAGCCCATTTGTAGTAAACCATTCCATCCTGGCCTGTAGTCTGGGGAGCTGTGACCTTGCTACTCAAATTGTGAGCTGCTGATTAGTTTTACTTGGACTCTTGGGAGCTAGTTAAAAATTCCAAATCATGGGCTCTACCTCAGACCTACTAAATAAGAATCAGTATTTTAACAAGATCCCTAGGTAATTCACATGTACACTAAAGTTTAAGAGGTACTGCTCTAGAAAACTTTCAGCTCAAAAATTCAATGTATCTAATAATCTGTTTCATAGAAGTGTATTCAAGGGTATTTTTATAATCTTATTAAAGTCCATATGATATAGTAAAATTTAAAACTTTGATTTTACACAAATTTATTCTTAATTTTTGAAAACAGACAAATGTTGACCTCTGAAACAGAAGAAGGGAAACATACCTGCTTGTATACCTGTCGTAAATACATGATTTCCTCCACAGTTCCCAAGGAGATCAGCCTAAGCACTTTCACATCTCTACATTGTCCAATCCTATATGCTCTGTAAAAAGATTTAAAATACAAACAAAAATCAAGTGAAACAACTTTGGGTTCAAGAGGTAGCTTTGGGACATAAAAATGGAAAATAATCAAAATTTTAATTAAAGAGAAACATTTTATGTTTAAATATGCTAGGTTATTTAGTAATTAAAAAATTCAAATTCATATAAAAAATTAAAGAGAAAAATATGCTAGAAAACGTACAAATATCAACTTCATTTCTGTTATAAACATCACCTTCCAACTTTTCCTAAATTCAGGTTTTTCTTTTATGGCAGCTTTTAGCTTATAGATTATTCCCCAAAGATTTCATTTATATAAAACTCCCCAAAATGCTAACTAATCCATAGTGCCGGAAAGCAGACTAGTGGTTACTTGGAGATAAAGGGATGGGGAAGAATGAGAGGGGTGGGTCACAAAGGGGCTGAAGGAAAATTCAGGGGTAATGAGTATATTTATTATGTCAGTTGTGGTGATGATTTCAAAGGTACATAAGCCAAAACTTATCAACTGTACACTTGAAATATGTACAGCTTATTGCATGTCGATTATACTTTACTAAAACTGTTGAAAAGTAAAAAAAAAAAAAAAAAAAAATCACCTAGCAAAAAATAATCAACTGTAAAGTCTATGGAAATGCTGGTTTACAGTCCTATCCATAGAGATTTCAATTCAGCAAATCTGACTGAATCACTCAGTTGACTGGCATCCAAGGTGTTTCCATACAGACCATAGTGCTAATTAAAATTCTAACCTGATTCATCACAGTGGTTTAACTGTGGGTCCATTCCCCACAGCTTCTCTCATATGGGAGGCTTTATAGTATTCTCTGTTTGAGCACCAAATGCCTGTTACAGTTGCTGAGGGGAACTGAGGCAAGGCCATACTGCCTACAAGCTTGAAAATGTTATAATGTGGGGGAAATTTATCTTCAAACTTGTAAGGTCACCCATATGTTGTATTTGATTTTCTCTCTGCCTCCTTTACCCATTTCTCCTCACAAAGGACTTTTATTAGAGGACATCTTGGATCCTGCAAAATCTTACTCACACCTCCAGCAGGAAATGGAGGCTCCTGTGACACAGCACCGCCATGGTTAAGGTACTGCATTCTCACTTCCATTCTGCAACCCGGAGGCAGAGGAGGGGCTCAGTATCCCTTTCTCTCCTATAATATGTTTGGGTTCTAAAGAAAATCAGAAATGGATCTAAGAAAATGTCCTTTGGATGTATGCTCAAGCCAGTTGTTTGGAGAATGACAGAGATTCCATTAGGATAAGCATACATATCCTTTAATCTTTACAGACAAAAATTTTAGATGAGTGCTACTGTGCACCTATGCTTCATCATTTCTTGGTCCATAAAGCAAAGATTTGTAAGTGATGAATCTTTCACCATGTGCAGACAAGTGTTGAGGAACTGTTATACAATAGGTAGGTCATTAGCTTCATTTCTGTTCTTAGTTACTGCTGTCAGAGTCAGTGGAAAGAGAGGGAGAGGAAGAGGAACACTATTCGTTCAGTTTTATTGTGAATTAACTTTCAGTGAATACCAAAGCACAGTACATTGTGCTTTGAGGAATACTGGGATAAATAAGATAGTATGGCTCAATGACCTAATAAAAAAGTACAAAATATAGCAAATGTCCTAAGACCAAAAAAAGGGAGGAGATATTTTTGTGGTTTTCATTTTGACCAATTTCCTTGACATCTGTCTGTGAGGAGAGGCTGATTAAAAGTGTAAGCTTTGCAGTTAGACAACATGGATTCAGATCCTGACCCTGCCACTTACTGGCTGTGACCTTGAGCAAGTTGTTTAAGTACACTGTGCCTCAGCTTTCACATGTGTAAAATGGGCACAATAGTACCTATCACATAAGGATATTCTGACTATCAAATGAGATAATCCATGGAAAGCACCAAAAATCAGAGTTCCTACCTTACCATAAACAGTAAGTGTAGCCGTTATTCCTTTGTCCTTATTCTTCCAAATGTATTTGAACAAAATGGTACACAAAATATTAAGTATTACAAATAAAGTTATTGGTTAGATGGGCTTTCTGCTTCTTAAGCATTTCTATGTATTTGCCTTTTTCCCTCAGATTAGACTTTTCAAAAATGTCTACTGTTTTCAATGAATGAGTTAAAATTTATATTGTTTTTATCTTAATAATGTAATAACATGTATAATTCTATTTACTTTGTGCCAGTTTTCTAAATTATACCATTTTTTTTACTTTCAGTCTTTCTTTTTTTTTTTTTTTTTTTTGAGACGGAGTTTCACTCTTGTTACCCAGGCTGGAGTGCAATAGCGTGATCTTGGCTCACTGCAACCTCTGCCCCCTGGGTTCAGGCAATTCTCCTGCCTCAGCCTCCTGAGACGGAGATCAGAGACGGGGTAGAGACAGGGTTTCACCATGTTGACCAGGATGGTCTCGATCTGCCGACCTCGTGATCCACACGCCTCGGCCTCCCAAAGTGCTGGGATTATAGGCTTGAGCCACCGCACCCGGCCTACTTTCAGTCTTTCTTAAATGAATTTAAAAATTGGAATTAGCATCAGAATTTAAATATTGATTCAGAGTAATTTCATTATTTCTAAATAGCAAGTTTTTATCTTGATTTCCTCTTATTGTGGCAAAATATACCTAAAATATTTAACCATTTTAACCATTTTAAAGTGTACAGTTAGGTCATATTAGGTATATCTACACTATTATGCAACTATAACATCTATATAGTTACGGACTCTTTCCAAACTGAAACTCTCTACTCATTAAACAATAACTCCTCATTCCCCAGCCCCCAGCTACTAGCAACTACCATTCTATTTTCTGTCTTGAATTTGATGACTCTAGGTACAACATGAAATCATCTTTGTCCTTTTCTGGCAAAAACAGGTATCCATCCTTTGTAGCTGATATTAGAGGAAAAACAGTTCAATCATGACACCACTGAGCACAATGTTAGCTCTGGGTTTTTCATAAATGATCTTATGTTGAAGTAGTTTCTTTCTTTCTTGTTTTTTCTTTTGGGTTGGAGTCACTCTGTTGCCCAGGCTGGAGTACAGTGGCATGATCTCAGCTCACCACAAACCTCAGCATCCCTGGCATTATTGTGCCTCAGCCACCCAAGCAGCTGGGAGTACAGGTGCGCATCACCATGCCTGGCTAATTTTTGAATTTTTTGTAGAGATAGAGTTTTGCCATGTTGGCCAGGCCAGCCTTGAACTCCTGACCTCAAGTGATCCGCCCACGCCTGGCTCCCAAAGTGCTGGGATTATAAGCATAAGGCACGGTGCCCAGCTTGTTTCCTTTTAATGTGCTGAGTTTTCGTCATAAAAAGATGTTGAATTTTGTCAAACGCTTTTCCCGCATCAGTGAAATGATTACATCTTTATTCCTTCATTTGTTAATGTGGCGTATTACATTGATTTTTGAAGGATGTTGAACAATTCTTGCATTCCAGGAATAAATCTTACTTGGTGTACCCTCCTTTCAATACACTGCTGAATTTAGTTTGCTGGCATTTTACTGAGTATTTCTGCATTAACATTCAAAAGGATTATTGGTCTGTGGTTTTCTTTCTTGTAAGTTTTTGATTTTGGTATTGGGGTGATGCTGGCTTTATAGAATTAATTGGAATGTGTTTCCTCCTCTTCAGTTTTTTGGAAGCATTTGAGAAGGACTGGTGTAAATTCTTTAAATGTTTGGTAGAATTCATCAGTAAAGCCACACAGTCCTGAGCTTTTCTTTGTTGGCAGGTTTTCTATTACTGATTCAATCTCCTTACACAGTTAGAGGTATATTCACGTTTTCTGTCTTCATGATTCATTCACTCTAGGTTGTATACATCTAGGAATTTGTCCATTTCACCTAGACTATTCAATTTGTTGGTATACAAATGTTCATAGTACTCTCTTATACTCCTTCTTATTCCTGTAAAATCAGTAGCAACGTCCCCTTTCATTTTTGATGTTAAATTTTTTGAATCTTCTTTCTCTTCTCTTAGTCAATCTAGCTAAAGATTTATCCACCATTTTCTGGATCTTTTCGAAGAACCAACTCTTGGTTTCATTGATTTCCTCTTGTTTTTCTATTATTTGTTTTACTTATCTCTGTTCTAACATTTGTTATTTCCATCCTCTGGCTAGCTCTGGGAGGGTTTTCCTTTTCCTAGTTTCTTTCTTTTTTTTTTTTGAGACGGAGCTTCGCTCTTGTTACCCAGGCTGGAGTGCAATGGTGTGATCTTGGCTCACCGCAACCTCCACCTCCAGGGTTCAGGCAATTCTCCTGCCTCCTGAGTAGCTGGGATTATAGGCATGCGCCACTATGCCCAGCTAATTTTTTGTATTTTTAGTAGAGACAGGGTTTCCCCATGTTGACCAGGATGGTCTGGATCTCTTGACCTTGTGATCCACCCACCTCGGCCTCCCAAAGTGTTGGGATTACAGGCGTGAGCCACCGCACCCAGCCCCTTTTCCTACTTTCTTAAGGTGGAAAGTTAATTGTGCATTTAGACCTTCCTTCTTTTTCAGTGTAAGCATTTATAGCTATAAATTTCCCTCTTAGCATAACTATTGCTGTATCCTGTAAGTTTTGGTGTGTGTTTTCATTTGTTTCAAGCTATTTTCTAACTTCCCTTGTGAATTCTTCTTCAATCCTTTAATTAAATGTGTGTTGTTTAACTTACACATATTTGTGAATTTTTCAATTTTTCATCTGCTGTTGATTTCTAGTTTCATTGCATAGTGATTAGAAGAAAGAATGATTTCAATCTTTTAAAATTTATTAAAAATGTGTTTCGTGGCCTTACATATCATCTATCCTAAATTTCTCCATTACTGCCTTCCTTTGTGTTGAATTTGTTTTTAGTGACATATTTTTGTTCCTTTCTCATCTCCTTTTACATATACTTTAGATATTTTTGTTGTGGTTACCATAGGGATTACATATAATACCCTAAAGTTTTAACAACCTTAAATCAATCTATCTTACATTGAT